ACATTTATATAAATCAATTCTTAGCAAGACTGGATCATCAAGGGTGGAATGAACAAACTTAATTGACGTCCGAGAACATCTTAAGCTGATACAAGCAAATATTAAATTAAGCACAACAAAAACGAAACACAGTCTTCCTATAACGAAACACTGTACCAAAACTTTCACGAAAGCAAAAACAGACACAAAACTTACCTTTGAAAAGGAGAGGCGAAAACGACCAACGGAACATTCAAACTCATAAGTAAAAAATAAACTGACAACGCCATGGCTAAAAAAAAAAAGACAAACAAACACCCATCAGTACACAACACACAACATAGAAAACTAAAGACTTAGCAACACGAACCCAATAAATAGATGGGTGTTCCAGAAGGGTACGCATATCCTGCTCCACATGTGACATTTGAACCATGTTAAAAGAAAGCAAATTTAGAACTTGCTCTTGTCCGTTCTTTACTGATTTGTCACACCTAACATAAAGTGCACTTATCTTGAATTGAAATTGCTTCGCCTTTATTTGCAAATACGTTTGTATGCATTTCTGAATGCGGAATTTTCCCAACAATAATGTAGAAGGTACTAGATAAAACAACAAGCAGATAGAAAACAAAGGTCAATTTTTGAAAATGTACTCATCAGCAATCCTTTTAGGACGTCACTAAAAGATTCAAATTTGATTTTCGACCATGTTCAACGAAAACATATCGCACTTGCGTTAATTGAATGTTTTTTTTAATCTAATAGCATTCTGTCTTTGATATATAGTTTTCAAAACATTGCGTTCTTTGATTCCAAGTCTAAACTGGGTTTTAATCTAGGAGCTTAAATCAAAGTTTGGCAACAATTTTGAACAATGTAATTAATTTACTTTGAAGTACACAGGATTTTCAAGATAAATTATCCTTCTCATTTAAAAAAAAGTATGAATAAAAATACAGAACTTAAAGGTAAATCCAAAAATGGGACGTCTAGAGGAACTGACAAAATCGAACTAAGAAATATAGATTCCAACAAGTGTGTTACGATATTTCTCCACTCGAGACAGATCAATTTTAATATTCAAAGCGCGAGGTTTGCCGAGCTTTTTAAATAATTAAAATTAAACTGTTGAGAGTGGGGAAATATTGTAATACACGAGTTAAAGTGTTGGAATCTGTTTCTGTAATGATTTTTATTCATCCTTTTTAAAGATTTGCAAAAAAATTGTGTTATTTACATATGAAGTCATCAGGCATGGTCGCCTTTTTTCGAGACGTCACAATAAGAAAATTCAGAAGAAATCAAGAAATGTTGACGTCAAAATTATATTTCGACCAATCATTTGCCGAAAACAGATATTCCACTAGTGAGGAGAAATCTTTTTCTCACACCGATCCGGAAATGTTAAAATAGCCCAAAAATAGAGAAACACTATTTTTGTAAAACATTCAAGACTTTATAGATAAATATAGACATGGAAGATTAAGGATTAATAAAAGGAGATTTTAACGATATTTTATCAGAAAAGATACAAAATATATGATTTAAATTTGATAAACCTGTCTCCGAGCTTAAAGAATTATCTACATCCTTGTTTATACTGAAATAAAATAAAAATGCTCCTCTTGTGATACAGTATTATACCAATTATTATTCAATTCGCTGACCGTAATAGTGTATCTTTAAATTTACAAATGTCGAGAAATAATAAAGGACGTGGTAACTGGAAATTAAATAGTAGTGTTTTAGACGACGAAGTTTGCCTCAAAATAATAAACAATCTTATAAACAACTATAAAGTTAAAGCAAATAATTAAACAAATCTAGCTTTTCATGGTACAATTTTAAAATAGAGATTGTGCAATTTAGTTCTGTAAATTGAAAGCCCTTAATAAAAAAGATTTAATGAGTGTGTTAGCAAATCAAATAATACAACTAAATAATGAAATTCATATAAATAATTATTTATATTACACTTTGATAAAAACTTAGTGAGACCAAAGCATTTTCATTATAACATACATCAGGAACGTGAAAGATATGACAAGAAGGGCACAAATAATAGCCAACGTTGTGCAACGTACGTAAACTTTCCTCTTTTTTTAACACGAAAACTTTACTTATGTGAGTTGAAACTTACCTTTCTTTATAAAAAAAAAGGCAAAAAATACCAGGGAGATATTCAAAATCATAAGTCAAAAATAAACTGACAACGCCATGGCTAAAACTGAAAAAGACCAACAGACAAACAATAGTACACAAAACATAACATAAATAAACTAAAGACTGAGCAACACAAACCCCACCAAAAACTGGAGGAATTAACCCGGTAGTAACTGTAATTCGGTAGCTCACATTAAGGAAAAGGGGACGGACGGGATTGTAGTTATGACATTAGGAACATATCCGTTATCATTTGTGAAACGGATATTCGATAACGGTCATCCAACTCGTGATGGCGTCCGTAAAACTTACAAAGGAATGATCTCAACTTCACCACTGTGAACTCTTTGTTTAATAGCCTCCTTTTGAGCAGCAAACCTCAATCAACAAATTCATGATAGGAAATACAAGCCGTGGAATATCTTATCAACTTAGAAATATATATACAACTGGGAGATATATATTTCGAATGCATGCGCTGCTGGAATGTTGCTACATAGAAATGGAAAGTTCACAGTTGGGAAGCTTAAATCATCACATTTTGACGTTTAGTTTTGTCTCTAGATGTAGGTCAAGATATGAGACAGACTTAACTGTATCTGTTGTTTCCTTTGTCACAAGGTGATGGGATAGATGCGTTCAACATAATCACCAAACTTTTAATTATTTAGTGAGAGAACATGATCTAAATTGCGGAACGTAAATTTAAAGGATACTTCTTTTCTTTCTTCTTAAGAAGTTTCTGTATGAAGTCAGCCTCATATGATTGAAGGAACAAGTCGGCAAGTCAGGGGCAAAGTTTGTTCCCTTGGAATGCCAATTGTTTGTTGAAAAAAAGCATCACCGAAACGTAACAAATATGTTGTCAATGAAGGAATCATGCATCTTGATAATGTCAGTTTCAGAAAATCTGGTGTTTGATTCAGAGTGATTTTTTACAAAGTACGACTTATCCCTTCATAAGACAAGATACTGATATCCACGTTGGATTCTTTTTTATGAAACAAAACAGAACCAACTGTTTAAGTTGTCTTTTAGGTTGGAATGGGGAATGGTTGAATAAAGTGTTGAAAAGTCAAATGTTTTAATTCTATTGAAAGATTAAAGAATCTTAGTATATTCTCTTAAAGATATTCAGAATATTTGTTTTAGTAAAAATGCCTTTTGTGATATTAGACCAATTGTTATTCAATTCACTGTCCACAATATTCTCCACATCTGATTCACGCCACCTCTAGAATATATTCTTTCACATTAATTTTGAAGCCCTAATACAGTGATAAACTTCTTCATATTTGGTAGAAATGCCAAAGGAACATAGAATAGACCTAAGATTACCCAGGATTTACTCTTTAAGTAAGTGTCGTGGTGGTATATGTTGAGTTTCCAAGTGAATTGTCAATACCTAATTCATTTATCAAGCAGTTTATGTAATGTTATTCAGTACACATGGACTTATCAAAATTGACTTAGCACACTTTTTTCAGCGCGAAATACATTCAGTTTTCTATCCACGTATGTAATGATATTCAGTGATCGGTTAACTTGATCATGTACATTTGCCTTCATCAGTTGAGGTGAAAAAAGTAAGATAACAAAAATACCAAACTCCAAGGAAAATGCTGAACGGAAATTCCCTTATCTAATGACAAAATCAAATGCAGAAACACAATAAACGAATGGAAAACAACTGTCAGGAAACAGTATGCAAAACACTTCAAGTTGATTCAAACTTAGACCGCCTAGAGATCTAACTTTAATAGATAAAATTGAGAATGGAAATGGGGAATGTGTCAATGAGACACCAACCTGACCAAAGAGCAGGAAACAGACGAAGAATTTGCAAGTGAAAACGAAAAATCCAACTGATGTTCATATTGTCTAGTTACTAGTAAAAATAGGTATATTAAAACATACATTAACAGTCTATCGAACTTTATACTGCACTCGTTCTATTTGAGCAGTCAAAATGTGTTGATTGTATATTTCTATGTCATATACAGTCACTGACCCGATATCACCTTTCCTAATGAATATTTAAATAGTAGTTGCCGGAACTATAATTAATTATTGATGACCAATGTAAACAACGAAGCGTGGAACAACTCAAATTTATTTATTTTACAATTGTTGGAAAAACATATTTCACTTGTTAATATTTTTAGGTTATAAAACCTATAAATTATTATCTTTATGCTTATTGTTGATATTTTAGTCCATACTCAAACGAATTAATTCACCATCGGATTTTTTTCAACAGATCCATTTCATTGTGTTATAATATTACTCCGTAAGTTATGAGGCCCTTTTAAAGGGGGATTTTTTCCCAATATTTAAATCAAATAAATAACAATAACACAATAAACAATTGAACCTCGCATTTCTCCGTTTCTAAGCCTCATCCTTATATCTTTGACATGTCAGTACACTATTATTGTCTATTTGTTTGTCCTAAGTTCTAGATAATCTAGCTAGTCAAAGACCATTTTGCTGGTAATTATAAATTGTAATCATAATATCAATCAGAGAAGTTTCCATACGGCTAATTTTGTCTTTTCAATTCAGGGGGAATATTTTCTAAATGTTACTTATTGTTAATTGGTTAATTATCCGGTCGCTCTGTTCCCAAGGAAGTTGAACTGGTTGATTGGGGCGATAGCCTTTATTTTCGCAACGTTGCATTCCATCCTTTGTTTGTATTGTGTTAAAGGTCGACCTAAGGGTTAAAGGCTGTCATCGTGCTTTAAGTTTTAAATGATGCATTTTAAAATATTATGATTTTTAGATTTTAAATCTATTGATACTGTCTTGTCATCTAATCATCAGTCAAGTAAAGTATGAGTTACAAAACGTTTTTTAAAAGCTGATTTATTAAAACAATAGTGCATTACATTAACTGTATCGGGGTAGTTAAATTCATCAGACAGTTTATCCATATTTATCTAAGCAAAAATAGCAAAAGAAAGTGTATACTCAGAAAATTACATTATTATTATCTGCTTGAAGTTACTTTTACAAATTTACAAAAAAGTACAATGGATGCCTTACTGATAATTATTCTGGTGTTTATTTCTTCAGTGCTTGGTGAGTATCTTCTTAAAACATTAAATAAAAAAAACATTCTTAATAGATTTGTACCGTCTGACACAATTTTCTGGATTTAATTTCGACAGGACGTTTCTACCCAAAAATGCGATAGACAAGGGTGCATTAATACATACAAACGTGAGAAAATTTAATACATTGAACAGATACGGCAAATCGAGCCAAAACTTCAATTTTTAATGAATAGGGAATCTTAGCTTATTCACTTCCAAAATGCTGATTGCCGATCGTATGAACAAAAGAATGCGATCGTCAAAACTATTTTTGGAATATAAACAAAAATAGCATCTGCAAAAACAATAAGACGTAAATAGTATACCCCTTCTACTTCTATATGCAGAAAGGGATAAGGGGTCATTTAAAGACCGTGTCTATTGTGTAATTTTGTTTATAAGTAGGAATTAAGGCTACAGTAATTAACCGGAGTATATTGTCGGAAATCCGTTTAGAACATTCAATCATGATAATAACAATGGTTTTGTCTTCAGTTGAGTCAAAATGTCAGAAATTGCCACTGATTCTTTAATGAGACTTATAGGGTCTGCATTTGACTTAAATGTCTGTTCTAGTCATCAACAATTTATAGTTTTTTATTTACACAAGTAATCAATTTAACATTTATTGTTGTTTAAACATGGACCTTTATTTTAGATGTATTAGTCGAAAAAAATATTTGGAATCTTTAAAGGTACAAAATTATGCTTTTGTATTTTGTGTTATATTTCAATTTAGCAATTATATAATAACTGGTAATTAACTGTATTTGCCTTTTATATTTGTTTTTCTCCTTAGATTCGATGAAAAAAACAATTGTTATTGTATTTGCATCTTAATTTACGTTTGCATGGTATAAATATTTCATTTTAACATTATCTGCGTTTTCTAGGTTTTGTTTTGTTTTCTATTGCGTGTTTGTTGGTCTTTTTTTTTTGTAACCCTGGCGATGTCAGTTTTTTTTTTTTACTTATGAATTTGAATGTCCCTCTGTATCTCTTTTTGTCGGTGCATTGGTAGACAAATGTAAGATTAAACGTTAAATGAGCACGCATTTTACAGGTGTCGATCCTACCTGTCCTGCGGGTTACGTTTACACAGGCTCAAGCTGTTTAAGTATTGGGTAAGTATTTTAAAATGTCGATATTGCCTAAATCTAAAATATGACTTAATACAAGGCACCACATATGAAAAGCTGTAACTGAACGAGGAGAAACAACGAATGTGGTATAATTTAGAGCAATATAAGTTTTAAAATTACATTCCACCTCCTTAAAATACTACCAATGCTTTTTTTTAAATCTTAAAACGTTAAACTGTTTAAGCTATATAAGTGCTGTATTTTCACTAGGTGTAAGCTTGACGATAAGCATCAGTCTTATAACGTTGTGATCCTATCAATTCAACTCTAAAGAAAGTTCTAATACATCATTTTAAAATTTTATCTATTTGCTCTGTTGGTAAACATTATAGAAATATAGATTCTACCACTGCATCGATGTGATACAATATTTATCCACTCGAGACAGTTAAATTTTCAAATTTAAAACGCGAGGCTGGCCGAGCGTTTTAAATATTTAAAATTTAACTGTCGAGAGTCGAGAGTGGATAAATATCGTATTACACGAGATTTGGTGGTGGAATCTGCTTCTCTAATGATTTTCAAACAATACGCAGGCAAATGTTTTCCTTCTTTTCGAATGATCTGCAAAAAGATGTGTTCTTTCTATGTGACGTCATCAGGCATGGTCGCCTTTTTTCATGCCGTCACAATAGGAAATTCAGAGGAAAGCAAGAAAATTCGACGTCATAATCGGATTTTAACCAATGAAGAACTGAGATCAAACGAACCACACGTTCATTAAATTTTTTTTATACAATGGGTGCAGAAAGGGATAAATTGACGAAGAATTAGAGAAATAAGGATATATGGTATGATTGCAATGAGACAATCACCCATCAAGAGAAAATGACAAATATGTGATCAATTACAGGTCACCGAACGTCCTTCAGTAAAGCTAATATCAAAAGGTAAGGATTACGCGTTACAAATATGAAACATGTATTAAAAAGACAGCAACTGCATTACCAGCACTGAAAAAATTAACGAAAGCATATATGGTAAACAACGAGCAACAACAACCACTTGATTTCATGTTGCCAGCTATAACCAGAGACATACACACATGAGGTGGACTTATATATGTTTATGAGCTGTGTTTTTGTCGATTATACATTTTATCCTCTTCACGTATACCTACCATTGTGTAGGTAAATCTGCTTACTCGAAAATTACCCTCTTAATCTGTTCAATGTATAGTCATTTCAAATCATTCTATGTTGTATATGGTTTTGTCGACAATACATGTTATCCCATTCATGTATACCTGCAATTTTGTAAGTAATTTCTTACTCATAACTAACCCTCATAATCTGTTCAATAATTTAATCATGTCGATTTATTCTATATTGTAAAGAAAAATAAGAACACGCAAACGGTATTCAGTTGTTTAACAATGATTTGACACAGATTGCTGTTTTCGTCATCTATACCTATCAATAGAACAGGAAACAGTTACATTGGTATGAAAAAAACATGATGCAAGATATGTTTTTATCGTATACATGATTTATCATTTATATATATTTCAGAGCCATAATTGGAATATGTATTGGAATTGTAGCGTTTATAGCGTTTATCACTGGCTTAATAATAGTCATTAAAAGTAAGTATTTCAATAGAATGAGATTTCGGTTTTCCTATATATTTTGGCGTATGCATGAAATATCGAATGTTGTTTCTTGTTATTGTAGTTGTTGAAATCCAAGAAGAGAATAGTTAATTAGTAAGTCCGACTCTAACCTTGTACTCTCTGTATAAAAACAGACTTCAAATGCATCTGTTGGTACTGATTTGGTCGCTGAGGTTCGGTAACCATCGGATGACACCATTCTATAATATAACCTGCATCACAATCTTACGAAATTGACACTTGATTGACAAACGACAAAAGAAATGTTCAAATTCAGATCTGAGCAAAATAGTTGGATCCAGAAGACAATAGTGCAAACATACACCAAACACACACACGCACAACTGATTTAAAAATTAAAACAACGTTAAAAAAAATCAAGGACGTCAATGAAAAGCTTATGGCTCCTGCAGCTACGAGCAAACATAGTATTGTAATATATAATTTCATATACTCTTAACGTATTAGTAGGACCAAGCAGCAACATATACTCTTAACCTATTAGTGGGACCAAGCAGCAACATATACTCTTAACTTATTAGTGGGACCAAGCAGCAACATACACTCTTAACTTATTAGTGGGACCAAGCAGCAACATATACTCTTAACTTATTAGTGGTACCAAGCAGCAACAAATACTCTTAACTTATTAGTGGGACCAAGCAGCAACATATACTCTTAACTTATTAGTGGGACAAGGCAGCAATATATACTCTTTACTTATTAGTGGGACCAAGCAGCAATATATACTGTTAACTTATTAGTGGGACCAAGCAGCAATATATACTGTTAAATTATAGTGGGACCAAGCAGCAATGTATACTCTTAACTTATTTGTGGGACCAAGCAGCAATATATACTGTTAACTTATTAGTGGGACCAAGCAGCAATATATACTGTTAAATTATAGTGGGACCAAGCAGCAATGTATACTCTTAACTTATTTGTGGGACCAAGCAGCAATATATACTGTTAACGTATTAGTTGGACCAAGCAGCAATATATACTGTTAACTTATTAGTGGGACCAAGCAGCACTATATACTCTTAACGTATTAGTGGTACCAAGCAGCAATATACACTCTTAACTTATTAGTGGGACCAAGCAGAATATATACTGTTAACTTATTAGTGGGGCCAAGCAGCAATATATACTCTTAACGTATTTGTGGGACCAAGCAGCAATATATACTCTTAACTTATTAGTGGGACCAAGCAGCAATATATACTGTTAACGTATTGGTGGGACCAAGCAGCAATATATACTCTTAACTTATAAGTTGGACCAAGCAGCAATAAATACTCTTAACTTATTAGTGGGACCAAGCAGCAATATATACTCTTAACTTATTAGTGGGACCAAGCAGCAATATATACTCTTAACTTATTAGTGGGACCAAGCAGCAATATATACTCTTAACTTTTTAGTGGGACCAAGCTGCAATATATACTCTTTAACTTATAAGTTGGACCAAGCAGCAATATATACTCTTAACTTATTAGTGGGACCAAGCAGCAATATATACTCTTAACTTATTAGTGGGACCAACCAGCAATATATACTCTTAACTTATTAGTGGGACCAAGCAGCAATATATACTGTTAACTTTTTAGTGGGACCAAGCTGCAATATATACTCTTTAATTTATTAGTGGGACCAAGCAGCAATATATACTCTTAACTTATTAGTGGGACCAAGCAGCAATATATACTGTTAACGTATTAGTGGGACCAAGCAGCAATATATACTCTTAACTTATAAGTTGGACCAAGCAGCAATATATACTCTTAACTTATTAGTGGGACCAAGCAGCAATATATACTCTTAACTTATTAGTGGGACCAAGCAGCAATATATACTCTTAACTTATTAGTGGGACCAAGCAGCAATATATACTCTTAACTTTTTAGTGGGACCAAGCTGCAATATATACTCTTTAACTTATTAGTGGGACCAAGCAGAATATATACTGTTAACTTATTAGTGGGGCCAAGCAGCAATATATACTCTTAACGTATTTGTGGGACCAAGCAGCAATATATACTCTTAACTTATAAGTGGGTCCACGCAGCAATATATACTGTTAACGTATTAGTGGGACCAAGCAGCAATATATACTCTTAACTTATAAGTGGGACCAAGCAGCAATATATACTCTTAACCTATTAGTGGGACCAAGCAGCAATATAAACTCTTAACTTATTAGTGGGACCAAGCAGCAATATATTATCTTAACTTTTCAGTGGGACCAAGCTGCAATATATACTCTTAACTTATTAGTGGGACCAAGCAGCAATATCTAATCTTAACTTATTAATGGGACCAAGCAGCAATATATACTGTTAACTTATTAGTGGGACCAAGCAGCAATATATACTGTTAATTTATAGTGGGACCAAGCAGCAATGTATACTCTTAACTTATTTGTGGGACCAAGCAGCAATATATACTGTTAACGTATTAGTGGGACCAAGCAGCAATACATACTGTTAACTTATTAGTGGGACCAAGCAGCACTATATACTCTTAACGTATTAGTGGTACCAAGCAGCAATATATACTCTTAACTTATTAGTGGGACCAAGCAGAATATATACTGTTAACTTATTAGTGGGGCCAAGCAGCAATATATACTCTTAACGTATTTGTGGGACCAAGCAGCAATATATACTGTTAACGTATTAGTTGGACCAAGCAGCAATATATACTGTTAACTTATAAGTTGGACCAAGCAGCAATATATACTCTTAACTTATAAGTTGGACCAAGCAGCAATATATACTCTTAACTTATTAGTGGGACCAAGCAGCAATATATACTCTTAACTTATTAGTGGGACCAAGCAGCAATATATACTCTTAACTTTTTAGTGGGACCAAGCAGCAATATATACTCTTAACTTATTAGTGGGACCAAGCAGCAATATATAATCTTAACTTATTAGTGGGACCAAGCAGCAATATATACTCTTAACTTATTAGTGGGACCAAGCAGCAATATATACTGTTAATTTATAGTGGGACCAAGCAGCAATATATACTGTTAAGTTATTAGTAAGACCAAGCAGCAATATATACTGTTAACGTATTAGTGGGACCAAGCAGCAATATATACTGTTAACTTATTATTGGGATCAAGCAGCAATGTATACTGTTAACTTATTAGTTTGACCAAGCAGCAATATATACTGTTCACGTAACAGTGGGACCAAGCAGCAATATATACTCTTAACGTATTAGTGGTACCAAGCAGCAATATATACTCTTAACTTATTAGTGGGACCAAGCAGAATATATACTGTTAACTTATTAGTGGGGCCAAGCAGCAATATATACTCTTAACGTATTTGTGGGACCAAGCAGCAATATATACTCTTAACTTATTAGTGGGACCAAGCAGCAATATATACTGTTAACGTATTAGTTGGACCAAGCAGCAATATATACTCTTAACTTATAAGTGGGACCAAGCAGCAATATATACTCTTATCTTATTAGTGGGACCAAGCAGCAATATATACTCTTAACTTATTAGTGGGACCAAGCAGCAATATATACTCTTAACTTTTCAGTGGGACCAAGCAGCAATATATACTCTTAACTTATTTGTGGGATCAAGCAGCAATATATAATCTTAACTTATTAGTGGGACCAAGCAGCAATATATACTGTTAACTTATTAGTGGGACCAAGCAGCAATATATACTGTTAAATTATAGGGGGACCAAGCAGCAATGTATACTCTTAACTTATTTGTGGGACCAAGCAGCAATATATACTGTTAACGTATTAGTTGGACCAAGCAGCAATATATACTGTTAACTTATTAGTGGGACCAAGCAGCAATATATACTGTTAAATTATAGGGGGACCAAGCAGCAATGTATACTCTTAACTTATTTGTGGGACCAAGCAGCAATATATACTGTTAACGTATTAGTTGGACCAAGCAGCAATATATACTGTTAACTTATTAGTGGGACCAAGCAGCACTATATACTCTTAACGTATTAGTGGTACCAAGCAGCAATATACACTCTTAACTTATTAGTGGGACCAAGCAGCAATGTATACTCTTAACTTATTTGTGGGACCAAGCAGCAATATATACTGTTAACGTATTAGTTGGACCAAGCAGCAATATATACTGTTAACTTATTAGTGGGACCAAGCAGCACTATATACTCTTAACGTATTAGTGGTACCAAGCAGCAATATACACTCTTAACTTATTAGTGGGACCAAGCAGAATATATACTGTTAACTTATTAGTGGGGCCAAGCAGCAATATATACTCTTAACGTATTTGTGGGACCAAGCAGCAATATATACTCTTAACTTATTAGTGGGACCAAGCAGCAATATATACTGTTAACGTATTAGTTGGACCAAGCAGCAATATATACTCTTAACTTATAAGTTGGACCAAGCAGCAATATATACTCTTAACTTATTAGTGGGACCAAGCAGCAATATATACTCTTAACTTTGTAGTGGGACCAAGCTGCAATATATACTCTTTAACTTATTAGTGGGACCAAGCAGCAATATATAATCTTAACTTATTTGTGGGACCAAGCAGCAATATATACTCTTAACTTATTAGTGGGACCAAGCACCAATATATACTGTTAATTTATAGTGGGACCAAGCAGCAATATATACTCTTAACTTATTTGTGGGACCAAGCAGCAATATATACTCTTAACTTATTAGTGGGACCAAGCAGCAATATATACTCTTAACTTTTAAGTGGGACCAAACAGCAGTATATACTCTTAACTTATTAGTGGGACCAAGCAGAATATATACTCTTAACTTATTAGTGGGGCCAAGCAGCAATATATACTCTTAACGTATTTGTGGGACCAAGCAGCAATATATACTCTTAACTTATTAGTGGGACCAAGCAGCAATATATACTGTTAACTTATTAGTGGGACCAAGCAGCAATATATACTGTTAAATTATAGG